ATCTCATATATAGACGATCGTGTGAACAAAATAGCCAAGATTTTCCTACTGTGACAAAAGAGACTTTTTGGTCTTCAGGAGCACACCTTTGCAAAATATAATGCAAACGAATGTAGATTAGGGGAATTTAGACAGGAATAAAATATGTCTGTATATGTATACAACCAGTATATCTATGTGTATATGCAGGAATGTGTATAGGGATAATGGAATTAGGTCAAATAGGTGTTAACCCTTGTTCAATGGTGGTGCCTAACCATTAAAAATAGGTAATAAATTGCTGCCAGTTAAATGGTGCTATGAGAGCTTAGGAAGATGGCAAGAATCCATTCTATGCTCAATAACATCATACACAAATATATTTTTGGGGACTGGACAGCAAGGAATGTGTTGCTTTCATGCAGGTTTGATCCTTATAGCTGCGTGAACAGTTCGGGAAGGAAAATGTGACTCTAGAAGAAGATTTTTATGGTGTAAACAAGTAGTGTTATGAGAAGGATGGTTTATGGTCAAGGGTCTTAGATATTCAGTTCAGGTTTTTGGCAGCTGCAGTAGTTGTGTGCAGAATAGCATTCAGTGAGATTGGAGCAGTGATGCCATAATGCCTATTACATTGTTTCTGCTATATTAAGCTCAGGTTAGCTAAACCAAGTTGAGATAATCTTTACCAAAGTTAGAAGCCATAACCGAAGGAGTTACACATTGACTGAAAACTTAAACAACAAGAATCATTTCATGTTATTCTTGCTGCTTGTGAGTTTCTTATTTCATTTTCATGCTGTCTATAAATTTCAACAATTTTTGGGGGTTTTTTGTGAAAAACTCCAACATAATGTCAGGAAGAAAGTCTGTGAGAAAGACTGAGCATTGGGTGTTGGTTCACACTACTAGGTGGGTAGAGATACCCTCATTTAAAGGTGGAATACTCCAAATAAAAATGGTGGAGAGCATATTGAGGACTAGATCTGGAATTCAGAGACTTTTGTGTTCATTTTGATAGGTGATAAGTACTTCTATTAAATCTGTTGTAATTAAAGAACAGGCATTACTTTTTGACCGCCCCTTGTGTGTGTGTATATATATATATATATATATATATATATATATATATATGTGTGTGTGTGAAGAGTGTGTGTATATAAATATATATATATATATGTATATATATAATTATTTATATATTATATGCGCGGTACTTATTAGAAAGCGTTCAATATCAGAGATAGAGCTAACATATTTGGTTGGATTGATGTAGAAACTGCAAAAATGACTGGCAGATTCCACCAAACTGGGAGGAAGGTAAGGATACTGAATAACTTTGGTCTGAGTTTTTATCACACCAATTTATGTGCAATATCAAGAGAGAAATTAGAAAAAAATATCTATATCTGTCAAACTATGAAATTTTGAGACAAAATTGCAGTGAATATGTCTCAAACTCGTTTGATAATATGGTTGACTTGTTTTCTTGAACACAACTGAAAACTTGTGGAGCATCTTCAAGAGAAAAGTTTGCATTGGGGGATAAAAATTTCCAAGCTCCAATTCTGGTGGTTGTGTTGTCCATTTCTGATGAAGAAATCAACTTGATGAATCAATGCATGAACAACTATTAAAGTTACTTTCAGAGGCACATGTTGCATACATTTCATATTAATGCTGGATTTAGAATTTGGTTGTCATTACAATGACATCATTTTTGATTTTTGGTTCAAGACATTCATCTTTATAGAATTGGTGCACCTTCTGCAATTATAATTTTTAATTTCGACAAAATAATCTTTCTTAGAATTTTGATAAGCTGACTAATCTTGTCACTTGCCATTAATAAATATTATCTCCATATTTTTAGTCAAAGTTAAATTTTGAAACTTTTCTTATGAGATGTCATATTTTGTGAAGCATTCTTACAATATAGAAGTTGCTGTCACTGTTTGCGTTAAAAAAATGGCCTCACTGAACTCGGATGACATATTCAGGGGAATTTTTTTTTTACTGTTTGTTGTAACCTAGAAAGGGTTACTGAATGAGGAATTATCAAAACGGAGGTTGGAAATGAAATGGTAATCTTTATAATACCATACTCGTTATCGCCGTGAAGTAGGTAACCACTGCTAGTGGTGGACTACATAGACAGCATATTATCCCCACTTACAAGAGTGTCCAATGTATTTATGAGGATTAAGAAACACCCATTAGTGTTCATAGGTATGATATATAACCCTGTTCGATAAAGAAGAGCATATATTCAGTTGATTGTTGGATGTTTTACGTTGTTCTATGCATATTATGGTTGCTTCTGACGTTTGTCTTTTCCGTTTTCCAAAATAAACCTTTCAAGTAATTGTGAAATATATAAGAACAAGTGTTGGAAAGTGTTTGACTCACTGTTTTTGATTTGCTACTACAATTTGGTTGCGACGATGGTAGAAGGTTGCCAGGTGAACTGGAAAGTGACGTAAACTGTGACGATGTAGGTGTTTGCATCATTTTATCAAATGCATGTTCTGCTTCAGTAATTTCATCCTACAAAAAAAAACAACCAAATAATAATTAGAAGCTATAGTAATTAAAAAAAAAAAATAGAGATAAAAACATTCTACAAACTTTCTTGACACTTAATGAAGCTTAAAAATCAGTTAATAGTAAGGACATATTACACTGTCTTGCGTACATGCATGCCATAAGTAGCTAGATAAATGCATTATGGCAAATAAAACTCTGAAGCCAAAGTCCTGTTCATCATCAGGTTTATTGAGAGCCAAAAGAGTGAAACTAGAAAAAGAAATAAATAAAAACTTCAGACTAGTTTAATCTGAATAAAAAAGAATTAAATAAAAAGGTGAAAGGAAAGACGAAATATGACAGAGGTGTAATGTCTTAATAAACATATCAGCTGCATCAGCAGAAGCCCCGAGTGTATAAAAACAAAAGCACCCTTAAGTAACTCTCTCTTCATGTTTTCCCTTCTTTTGAAGTGTGTGCCATCGACTTTTTACACCGAAACAAAAAAGTCTGTGGATGCTTCTCATATAAACACATCTAGAACAGGCAAGTCACACTCAAATACATTCATTAACAATTTTAATTGTGTATTCAATTCATTTCTAGGAAAAGAAACTCTTAAACTTATCTTTTGTTAAATAAATGTTGTCTTGCATTGCAAATCAGCCTGTTATTTTGTAGAATTATTTCCCCGCCATTATTTCATGTAAAATATTCTCGTAAAACCCTTTATACATTAATTATAGAAGTAGCCGACATTACTAAAGCTACCTGAATTCTGAACATAACTCTGAGACTGTGTATCTGAAGGAGGGTAGCAAAATAGTTTCTTTACAGGAATAGGTTATAAAGTTTACAATAATAAGCCTACATAAAGTTACAGTATTACAGTGTGAACAGTCAACATGTTGTGAAAAGTATTCTACGTGAGGCAGTACAGCAGCTAAAATAAATGTATACAAAATGGTAATTGTTGTGAAGTAGAGGTTAGCACTAATCAGCCACAAAGCTCGTACTTCTACCTCGTTATTCCCAGTCACCACTTATATGAGTGTTCACTTATTCTTATGCAAATTATGCATACTAATTTGCTAGTATCACTATATCTCCCTGAACCTTAAGGGTTTTATTCCTCTCGTAGATCTTGTACTCCTTCTCCTGCTATTTTCCTCACTTTGTTCTATTTCTCTCTCTCATATTTCTTTCCCTGGGAGACCTCGATCTGTCCTGGGCTAGGCTGTAGTCATATGTGATTTCTTGCATAATCTGGTCTTTGTCCGAACTTTCAGACTCCTTCTGGCCCTCTTCATCCTGCATTGTTTCGTCTTCTGACGTTTCCTTCTGTAATGGTTGTTCTAACAACTCATTATCAGATGGAATTGAAGACATTTCTTCGTCGTTTTGTTCTTCCTCTTCACCCTGGGTCCTTATTTGGTCTGCATGGGTTAACACACTATCACCATTTTCTCTATTTATTATGGCTGTATTGTGGCCTTTTTGCATTATAAATTCGGCTCCTTCCGGATCTGCATCTTTGCTGTTTTTGTACCACATTTTTTCATTTGTAGAATATGGCATCGTTAGTGGAGTTCTAATCTGTCTTCCCATTAAAGCTGATTAGCTTTCTAGTCTTCCTGCATGTGATATCGTACGATAGCTTAAAAGCAGCCTCGGTAGAAAAAACTTCTACTTTTTCTTTTTGCTGAGAGCATGCTTTTAGCCCCTTTTTTACAGTCTGTACCATTCTTTCTGCTAATCTGTTTGATTGAGGGTGATATGGAGGTGTCTTATATGGTTTACACCCTATTTTTTCTAACCATACATTAAGTTCTTCCTCACAAAATTCTGGTGCATTATCAGATACCAAGGTTTTTGGTACGCCATTTCTGGAAAATATGACTCTTAAAATCTGCTTTATAATAGAACTTTTCTTGTTTGTAACCTGGATTATTTCAGACCAACCTGAAATGGAGTCTACTAGTATTAATAAGAGTCCACTCCATTAATATATGCATGATCCATATGCACACGACTCCATGGCTCCACATCTTTGGGCCACGAATGTAATTTGATTAGTGTAAAGTTTCTTAAATCTTTACATTTTTTTAAACCTTTTTACATATTCCTCAACGTCTCTTGAATATCCCAGCCACAGTGTATATCATCATGTACACTTTCTATTATCGGTTTTCTTTGTGTTTCTGGGGGAACTACCAGGTCCCCATTGCAAATCACTCCATGTTCTATTGTTAATTTGTGCCTCATTTCTTTATAGGGTCTTTCCTCCCTAGAATGAGTTTTTTCTTATTCTCGATACTATCCTACTTAGCACTGGATCATGTCTTGTTTCCGCAACCATTCTGTCTAAAGACAAAACATCAGTCTCTATCAAGTGTAGGAATGAATCTTCAAATTCTTCCTCTGTTTTATCTTTTGACTCCTTGTAGAACCTCAATCTTGATAGTGCATCCACATGTGGAATTGAATTTCCTTTGACATACTCTATATTTAAGTCAAATGCCATCAATCTTATCGTCCATCGTAGAATCCTTGATGTTGTGACTTTGGGTAATTCTTTCCTTGGGTTAAATATAAACTCTAATGGTCTATGATCACTTCTTAATAGAAATTTTTTCCGAATTAAAAATTGTCGGGCTCTGGTAGTTGTCCACACGATAGCCAATGCTTCTTTCTCTATGTTTGAGTAATTAAACTCAGTGTTCGTTAATCTTCTCGACAAATACATTATCGGATGTCCTTCTTGTGATAATATTCCCGATATTGAATGTTCACTTGCATCTGTAGTGAGTGTTATGTCCTTTTTTTGGATCAAAAATTTTCACTACAGGTTTCTTTGACATAATTTCCTTTAATCTTTCAAAAGCTTTTTGCTGTTTGTCTGACCACACAAATTCCACATTCTTTTTTCTTAAATTTGCAGACGGTTCCGTCAAGTCCGTGTATTTTGGTAAGTATCGCCTGTAAAAATTTACCAATCCCAAAAAAGACTCCAATTCTTTTTTATTTGTAGGTGTAGCTACTTTTAGTATTTTTTCTATCAAGGCTTGGTCTGGTGATATACCTTCTTTTGAAATGGAATAACCTAAAAAAGATATTTTGTTAGAATTGCTTACGCATTTTTTTTCATTTATCGTCATTCCCGCATTTCTTAGTCTATTCAAGACTAAGTCAGTTTTCTCTTTTAATTAATAGCTCCTATGCATATGTCGTCTTTGGTAACAAATCATATTTTGTACATATCCTAAAACCTGTTCAATGGCCCTTTGAAATATGGCGGTTTTTATTCCATATGGCATCCTTTCCCATCTTCTTTGAAGTTTTCGTCCTTTGGTATTTGGTGGTATGCCATTTTTAAATCTATTTTTGAAAAAACAGACATCCCTGCCAGTGCATGTAATGCAAGTTCAACATTGGGTATGGGATATGAATCCGAGCATATCTTGTGATTTACTCCTATTTTGTAATCTCCACAAATACGTAAATCACCATCTGTTTTCCTCAAAACTACAATCGGTAATGCCCACTTGCTACCTCCAGGCGGAACATGTTCAAGAAGGTCTTGTTCTACTAATTTACGTAGTTTTGTCAATACTAATGGCAATAAATGTACTGGTAATTTTCGTGCCTCATAATAAGTGGGGGAAACATTTTCTTTTACTTTTAAACTTGCTTCATAGTTTTTTAACTTTCCAGTTTTTGCCATTTTTATTTCATTAATTAACTTAGTAGAATTTATATTAAGCACATCATTTCCAATAAGCCCTTGTTTTTTTTTTGCAACTTGTAACAACTATAGGTATTACTTCAAATTTTTCTTTTAACTCTAATGAACCTTCAAAGTATCCTAATGTTTTTATAACCGACCCATCAAACTGGCGGAGTTGTAAATTGCTTTTTCGTAAAGGTGGCTTACCAATGTGTTCCAAAAAATTTTTTGGTATCAGTGTTACTTCACTCCCAGTATCCATTTGCATATCTAAATTGCAGTTATTAATTTTGACCTTTACTAAAATGTCTTTTTTCTTATGCTCAATTCTTTTTAAAGTCTTATTTTTTAATGTAAAAACTTCCCTTTCTTCAATTCTTTCAACATTTTTCTTTTTTAATTTACACACTGCTTGAAAGTGGTTCTTTTTTAAGCAATTATTACAAGTTTTTCCAAATGCTGGACACTTTTCCTTTTTCATTTCGTGTTCACGTCCACAATACGAACACTTTTTTATCTTCTTTAACATGTACGTATCAGCGAATATTTGTTCGCTGGGTTGACTTTTATAATGGTTGTATGTCTGTATTAGTTTTTGTTGCTGCATAAAGTCAATACATGTATTTAAAGACATATTTCCTATTTGTAATTGTTCCATTATTTTATATCGGTGTGACGCATTGGACATACCTTCAATTAGTCTTAATTGAATCAAGTCCTCTTCAATAGTCTGTTTGTCTTGTCCAAGTTTTTCAAATTCACAATATCTACTTGCATTTCGTAGACGGTGTAAATATTTTATAATTGGTTCATCAATTTCTTGTTTCATCGACATGAATTTTGTTCTTTCTGCCACTACCAGCCTTTTCTTGGGTCTCATTTCTTCTTATAATCTGACTTATTTTTTCGAAAGTCAGGTCTTCCAAATTTAAGGGATATGCCATGGTGGAGACTTTCATTACCGCCTCGATCCAGCTGTAGCCAAAAAATAAATCCGTGATTTCATTTTCGCCACCCTTTTCCTTGCTGTCTTTCAACTTTTTTTTGTTCTCGCAATGGCAGAGAAACAACGAATCCATGTATCCACGAAATCTGGATCTTTCAGAGACAATTGATATCCTATTGGCGACGCCATTGTTGTGATGCAGAGGTTAGCACTAATCAGCCGCTAAGCTCATACTTCTGCCTCGTTATTCCAGTGACCACTTATATGAGTGTTCACTTATGCTTATGCAAATTATGCATACTAATTTGCTAGTATCACTACAGTAACCTTAAACAAATTTTCAAATAATAAGATGACATTTTTAAAGAAGGCCAATGCTTAGAAAAAAAAAAAGGGAGAGAGGTTACATACTGGTGATGATATCTTTGGGGATAGAGTTACGGGGATAAGAAAGTAGGAACTGTAGTTTATTGTGTGAGATCTGCCCTTTCAGGTAATTATTAAGGGCCAAACAAGAAGTGGTCAAAATGGTGACTTATGTAAAATGTACCTAAATTAAACCAATGAGAAAATAAAATAGGGCTGCTGTGCTATGGAAACACAACATATGTAATATAGAACATGAAAGATATATGCACTAGGTCAGTAAGACTTAAATGATTATATTTGGTTGTAAAAATAACAAAGATGAAAGTGATTCTCATTAGAAGAAAAGGTTAAATTATACACAAATTACACTGTTTAAACTGTTGTCCTCATCTTTATTGTCATATTCACGTTTTGGTTGTTGTACACACTGATCTTCTGGTGAGATAGGTTTCGTTTGAAAATTCAACCTTTTTATTTAGTCTCAAGGGTGGAGGCAGAGATGGTTCCAATTCCACATGTCATTCCTTTTCTGGATATGTTTCAATTAATTCCTGTTAGTAACTAAACTCTCCAAGTTTTTGTTCCCTCTGCTATGACTTGACCCAAAGAATTGTGAATTCAATACATGACCAAAGTCCAAATAATGTAATTAGTATAAATAATTACATTATATCATCTCAGAAATAGATGTTAAATTGTACAGACATGAAGGATATTGATAATTGTGTATGCATAGCACACACACACAAAAATCTTGTAGAAACCAATTTTCAGTTTTATATTCAGTAAACAATTTATTCAGAGTGTTATAATTTATTATTATAATTACTACTCACTTAAAGGCCGCCAAAATCAGCCCTTAAGCATGATGGCAATTCACTTCCTATTTATAAAATTTATATTTATTTGCAAATAAATAAGGGGAGATTACTCTGTAATTAACTAAACTACATCTACATTTAAAATTTATAGTCAGCTTTATTTGAACTTCAACTAATTTCTAAAAACCAACAAAAGTTAAAGATTTTTAATAATTTTTTTTTTTTTGCATATTTTGGACTATTTCAGGTTTCTTGGAAAATATACAAAATATTTTAATCTTTGCTCAGAATCGCATCATCAACATCATCATTGTAAAGAAGAACAGACAAACCTTTAAGCTTGTAGTGAAGCTTTATTCAATACAATTTGACCACTGCTTATTATGTGAGGTTAGACCATCACTTTTTATAGTAGTTTATGGAGGACAGACAATTAGGATTGCCCTCACCACAATCATGCCAGCTTAATTATAATAATCATAATAGTTTAATTACTTTTGCTTTCTATCATTTTTCACTAGTTGTCAAATACAGAATTCAATTCTAGTAAGATTTTCCAATTTTCAGGAAAGTTGTCATTTGAAAAATCCAAGTTTACAGGTGATAAAAACTAAGAAGACATGACTACATTGTATCAACTGAAAGTGACATCAACAATATTTGTTGGAATAATGGAAGACAAAAACACTGACACCATGTTAAATATATTATTTGTTTAAAAAGGAGTTATCTGTCATAGTGTGAATCTTATTTTTAGTTTTAAAAGAACCTCTTTGTTATTTTTTGATGTTGGACTTGTGAGAATTATGAAATTATGGCCTTCGACTTAGAATTCATTTTCAACAAATAATGTAAAGAAAAATTCTTTTCTGAAGTAAGACTTAATTTTCTCATTTTTTACTACCAGATAGGAAGATACAAAAGTATTTCTATAGTGGAAATTAGTAAAAACTGTAGGTTTTGGTTGAAACATTATTAGTATTTGAAACACTGTAACAAAAAGTATATAAATGGCCTTTGAGGTGTCTAAAGTTAACACATTTTACTTTATCCTTCGGTCATTTTTTCTAAATTCTAAGAACATTTAAAGCATAGGTTACAAATTCTCTATAGAATTTTCCCCATTCTAGAATCTTAGAAATGTTAAAATTTCAGTTTTCAGAATGTTTCACAAGAAAAAATATGTCAAATGCCGTTGCAAAAAAGTAAATGTCATTAAATCTCAGTGTTAATAGGCTAAACATGTTTAATAGGCTAAACAGGTTTACAGTTAATTTTACAAAAAAAGCATATAACCAGCTTGTTTATTTTTTTTTTTAATTATGTAAAGAGCAACAATAAATTCCACAGAATATAAACAGTATTTGTCATTTTGGTTTGCTAAAACAGAAATTAATAAGAATAAAACTTGAAAAGAGATTTTGTTTAAATTTGGAAAATTATTGATTATATATAATAAAGGAACTATTTAACTTACTTTCTAGAACTGAAATGAAATTCAAGCTATGAAAAATAGAAGGAGCAGTAATAATAAACAGGTTTGTCTAGGAAATAAATAAAACACATTGAGCAATCCAAGGAGACAAGAGGAAAAACAAGAAGGAAATTTTCAAATGAAATAATATTTACCAAATCCCCAATATCTTCTGAATTTCTGATCACTTCTTCTGGCTTTGATACAAAATCCTCATCAAGCACAGGCATGTCCAACCGGATCTTTTTAATACAAGTCTGTCAAAAAAAAAAAAAAATCCAGAAATCAATTTTCAGTTTTATATTCAACAAACAATTTAACTATATTGTTATAATTTATTATTACTATTCACTTAAACCCCTGCAAAATTAGCACTTACTATTTATAGAATTTATAATTATTTGCAAGTAAGAAGAAGCTACTCTCTAATTAGTTAAACTGCATCTACATTTAAAGTTAGCTTTATTTGTACTACAACCAATCTCTAATCAACAGGAATCCAGTGTTGTTTTTTAATCATTTCAATCCAAGCAAGGCAATAAAAGCACTAAGATGCAAGGGGTTACTGAGTAAAAGACTGTAAGAAAAAAATTATTAATGAGAGCAAACAATGAAAAAAAAAAAACCAACAAAAAAACAGGAATTAAGAAGACAAAGAATAACAATATTACATTTCAATTACTGAATGAAGCAAGATGTCGAAATAGAGTTCTACAAGCAAGAAGTGCGATAGAAGAAACTTTTAGCATATAATTTACGGTTCCATCTAGCCATTTGTAAGTATGTTAAATGATTTTTGAACATATATGCTTACCATTTAAAAAAAACTGTTTTTTGTAATAAAATTTGGAAATTTTAATGATGAAAATGGAAAAGAAATGAAAATATTAAACATTTTTGCAGAAAGAAAGAAATGTTTATTCTGTAAATAAATTCTGTAGAAAATAAGCAGATCCTTATTTTCTGCAGAATTTTCATTTTTTTATTCTATTTTTTTTTCAGCTTTTCTAACAAACACAAAAATTGAAGCAATTATTCTATGAATGTTCAGATCGTCTTTCAATTGCAAAATGAACCAGGGATTGCTTTATTCTTGAAGCTATAGTATTTTAACAGAATTGTCCTAACAAGAATCTTGTGATGTGATATATTTGCCGTATTATAGTAATAAACATCCATCCACCAACAGAAACCAGATTATTATAATACTGACATAATAATGCAAGTATATCGTCAGAATTTATTATTATTTAATGCATGTTTATTATAACTTATTGTTATCTAACATATGTGTATTATCATTAATTTTTAGTTGCAACTTGTAAGAAATAATATTTCTAAATTAGCCAAGAATATCAATAACATTTAATTAACAAAAAACATTTTAAAAGATTTATTTGAACAACTGAATTCATTATTTGCATTGTTGATCTACACTGCTTAACATATGCCTCTGCATAATGGAACAACATTACCAAACAATCACCCCGTATCTTTGATAGACACTGCGAGATCAGACATCCGATATAGCTGATCAAAAATACTGAACTCATGCCTTGCATGGCTAATCAATACTGAATTCATAATGTTGCTGATTAAGAGAGCATATAATGATGAGTATTCTCAAAATTAGTGACAATATTTTTTAAAAGTCAAGAATATTTCCTAAATCCTTGGGAGAGAATATTTACAAGAATTTTATATTTATAAACATTGCAAGCCTAACAATACAAGTTTTACAATTTACAATAATAATATCAGTAAGTTTAATTTACTGATCAAGTAGATGAGAAAATGTCAAAGAAGAAATTTAAGAATCATTAAAGAGTGAATGGAAAGAAATCAGACCAACCTTCACTTCCCGTCGATTTCCAAGTTTCTCAATTGTCTGTAAACATTCATCAAATGTTCTCTTTGGGAAAAGACGATGTGCCCAGTGTTCTAAACCTTTTATCACTTTTTCTAAATCTTGTGCCTGGCAAACAAAGAATGGTAAAGTAACAAATAAATAAATGGAAATGTATCATAATACAATTTTCACAAAAATATCTTAGAAGAATTTAGATTTCTTCAGATCTCATAAAGAGAGATCTATTCTTAAAATAAATGTCCAAAACATTTGCCATTTCATTTTGAGTCATCTTCATGATGCCATTTTACAAATGCAGCTGATAATGGAATTACTATCTTTGCATTTTAAATATTACAAAAACAAAATTTTAACTTAAAATTCTAAATTACAAATATAACTATAACAATATACAAAACGTCTTAACTAAAAATTTGAAAAGGATACATTTAGTTTTGGTTAGTCATCGATTAAATCAATGATTTTAGTTTTGGTTAGTCATCAATTAAATCAATGATTTTAGTAAAGTATATTAAAAAAAAAATTTGAATTTCAATTAATTTTAAAAATTTACTTACTTCATATCCTTTTCCTTTAAATTTTACATTCTCAAATAATTTTGGTAAAATTGCAATTCCTCTCTCACTTGACAATCTGCACAAGATATGAAACTGACATTTTAATTGAAATATTTTTTAAGTAACAACCAAGAAAATTATCTTTAATTACTAAACGATATATTAGTAAATGTAACTTACTTCAAAAGGTTAGGTAGGAGATGGAAGAGATTTTACAAGGGGAGTGGGGTTGCTGGACTTGACCACTGGAACTGAGAAGAAATACATAACTTTTTGCATTTACAAAATAACTTTAGCTGAACCTGGTAAAAATTCACAAATAATTGGGTACTAAGAAGGATCAAAGATCACTACTGTAGTTGCCAAAAGCAGCTAATCTTCATTGCAACAGGGTTATGCATAATCAAATTAAGAGTCATAGAACTTATTAAGTTTGTAAGACACCAAACTTTGTATTGCAGTCATAGCAACAGTGGCATGTCTAGGGTAAGATAATCTGACAAAGCCCCACTTCAAGCTGGTTTTTGAATTCAGAGATTTCATTCTCATAAGACAAATTGCCACCAGTCAACGATTCCCAGTCAGCCTTGCTATTTAATCCATAGCTAGGGGGAAGAAGTGATGGATTCCTATCTTCCCCAAGGATATTTTGTGTGAAAATGAACATGACGAACTCAACTGAATTTTGAACTCAGCTTGTTAACCGTGACACAACCAGTACATCTTTTGGAGAAGCAAAAAATACCAAACAACTCCTGTAGCTGATTACTCCCATTTTATTTATTTCAGAACATGGCAAGTCTATAGCTATTTCCATGGTAAAAGATCAGATGAGCTCTGTTCTTTTGTCACACCAGTAGAGACTTTTACTGCTAGGATACTGCCACAGAATCTCCCGTATTTCCCTTGTATTCCAAATATAAAGAGAAAGTTCCATTCAGACTGCCTTTCCCTCAAGAGCAGCTACTTTGTGGAACTGACTCCAATATGGATGCTTCCCTGAACAATACAATCTTAACCTCTTCAAGTCAAGGGTCAATAGTTATCTATCCTCCTTATCCTCATAATCTTCCTTTTCTACCACTTGCTATTTCATGCACTTCATATAGTTCATTCATCATTACTATTTCAAATGTAACCCAGCAGATCTCGGGCTTTATATTGAGTGAACTTAAGTATAGAAAAAAATAAGCAAACACATTTGAGGCTTTATACATAAAAGCCTTAAAACAGGAAGAAATTTCCAGAAATTTTTAGTTAAAATAATTATGAAATAAATGCAAAAATTAAATTAAAAAACAAAATTACCTTTGAGGATCTAGTTTTGGTTGAGGATTTCTTACAACTTTTTTAGCAGCTCCTTTTGCAAGTTTGGCAGACATACTGGCATCAAAAGTGTTTTCTTTAATGAATTGATTAAAAATAATTTAAAATTTGCAATCAAAAGGAAAAAGATCAAGACCTATTTCCAATAATTTAACAAAAGCAGAAAAATTATTGCACATTAATTAAGAAGATGTCGATTTTAATTGCAAGGTTTTTCTTGACTTTACTCATTTGGTTCCTCGACATCTAAAGTAATTCTGACAAATTTTCTGTGTTCAATGGGAAAAGAAAAGTGAGTCAATCTCATTTAAAATAACATGAAAACAAATCTGATATTATTTTATTGAAAATTTCTACAAAATAATTGTTTGATGTATCAATAGCCCTTGAGAATCAAAGAATTTATTTTATTTTTATACCTTCTTCTTTAGGGGAACAAAAATATAACGGAATATTATTTAACTGTGAACGTAACTGTTCTTTTGTTGCCCTTGGATTACACAAACAACTAATTTTTTGTCAGAAATTAAAAATTAACTAAAGAAGCTGAATTTTTGTCTGAATCTCTAGGATAAGGAGTTATCATTATTTACCCTATTTATATTTGGACTATTGTCCTCATCTTTGTTGTTTTTATCTTGTTTCAGCCAATGTACACTCTGGCCTTCCTCAGATGTATATCAATCTGAGTAACCTATAGGGAATTCCAAACTGAACACTTTATTTAATCTACAGGGTAGATTGTTCTCATTCCACTGATATTGTCTGGTTCTTATTTTATTTAGCACTGTTCACCTGTTTCCACTGAGTGCAAGTAAACAATGCATGACCTAGGGATTGAACTCACAACCACTATATTAGCAAATTAAAAAAAAGAAAAGAAAATGCCAACACTTTTACTCACTATGCCATTGCCCCATAGAACAATTAGCAGGAGTAAACTTAGAGCTTTAAACCTAACGTTTACTACCGATTAGGTTTCCACCAGTGCTGCTGAATTGGCTAATGTAGGTACCTTCAGGAGATCGCTAAAAAAGAGCATAGCATGATGAAAAAGATGCCAACCTTGACGAAAACAAAATTTTATCATCTAAATGATTATGTTATTTTCAAGAGGAAAGATCAAAGTATTTTTTTACATTTTAATCGTTCCTAGCATGTCCAAAATCTTTGTTAAAACTCTTGTTTTTTTTGAGTCAGCAAAATTGACAGATAATCAATCATATCAACCATTTTCTTCCATTTTATAAAAAAAAAACGAAAAAAAACATGAAAATCTGTTTCAAATTCGTTTAAAAATCAATTATAATTTTTACATAATTAATTAAGAAAATTAGAAATTATAATCTTTACTTATATTTTGAAACAAGCATTACTTAGTTTCTGCACCGAAAAGAAGTAGTTTAGAAATATAACAAAGCAGGTCATAACATTTCATGTCACTTGACAGGTAATGATTGACGATTTTATCACATATTAACAGTTTACGTGAGGAAAAGTTATTGTACGGGAGGACAGATGTGATATATTCATTAAGATTAAAGTAAACAAATTATTTACTGCGTTATTTTTAAGGAAAACTTTCAGCTCTCTAATTTTTTTTTGTACTTAGCTTTCACCTCTACGTTTACAATGCTTTATGGAAAATATATTATAAAAAAATTAAAATAAGACTGTTGAGGGTGATATTAAATTTCATAAGAAAGGTATCTAATTAATTTATAGGTACCTTTCTTATGAATTTTATCAGAAGTGTACATAAAATACTATAACTTTATGTACATTTATTAAATATTACTGTGTTATTTGTATTTCCATTCATTTTGTTATTAATTTTGATATTTCATTTATGGAAAAATGTCATAACTGAGATTAATATAAAAATAAGATCATATAAATTTCATAAGATGATACTGATACTTGTAGGTACCCTTCTCAGTTGTAATTGAAAAATCAAATTAACTTCTCCACACGTGTTTTGCAAAATTAAAGGCCTTAACAGTGGAGAACAAGGCTTAACTCAAATAAAGCAACTTAATTGTATTCTTACTGGTCTTCTGTACTTTATAATTACAGCCGTATTATAAACACAAAATTACATTTCTTAATTACTGTGGGTCTTCTGAATGGTCAAAATTATACAATTTACAATGTGCTAAAAAAAGATCTATCTCATAAGGACATTTACAAAACTGAATACAGCTTTCAACTAATTTTATAATATTTTAACAACTAGTAATAAATAACATATTTTAACAACAAATGTAAAAATCTAAAATAAACAAATAACAAATAATTGTATTAAAAGTTCATTTTTCATCGAAAAAGTTTTTTTCTTTCAGAAAATTTTGTCCATATTCATAAAAACAACTAAAAGCAAATAAAAGCATTTGAAATTTAATATCTTTGTTTTATTGAGTTTGTATGTTACAATTCAGAGTTGATTTTCAGATTGTCCAATAAAAAATTTGTGAATAGTTTCTAAAAGTTTCATTAACATTCGACAATTATTTTTATTTTTGCAAGATTTTCCAAATTAATGTCTCATACAAAAAAAAAAAAAAAAAAAACATGCTAAAAATTTGTTATGTTACTAGTTTCGGTGATACAAAGAAAACAAGGTTTTTTAATCAAAATTTAGAATGCCCTAAAAAGAAAGAAAAATTTTAAAGAATAATTAAAAAATACCTTGGTCTTTCCTCTTAATAATAACAAACACTTAGACGATAAAATTTTGTTTTCGTCAAGTTTGACATCTTTTTCATCAGACTAAGCTCTTTTTTTTAGCAATCTCATGAAGGTACCTAAGTTAATGCAATGATTAAAAGCTGTGTAATAAAATTCATTAACCCTTTCAGATGCATATGGTTATTTACTAAAACTTAGCTTAATCCTGGCATTAACTTATTGGTTTTCAAACTTAGCATGCTACTAATGTATACACTCTTGAAGCATTTATTATGTTTAGTCTGTCATAAATCGAACTTGTTACACTCGAGATTTGGTCTGCACAAGTTTTTTCACAAGTGAACTAGGGTAGAGGTATATCTATAAATTAGAGTGAGGAAAACTTTCTGCACCTTCTTTTTTTGATAAAATCTTTAAATCGTATAAATTCATAGCATCATTATTCAGTCAAAAATATATTTGTCCTGGTTTTCTATCACCCGACACCATCTTTCACATAAATTGTGAAAGGTCCATTGCAAAAGAACAATGCTGTTCTTCAGTCAATTAATGTTTTCAATATCTTGACATTTTTGGAACATTTGATTAAAGTGTGTTTCATGGAGTAAAATGTCTAAAAGTGACAGTTGTTAGAGAATGTTATATGTAGAACTCTCCATTGCAGCTACATGGTTGGTTGCTACCTCATGTTTGCAACATGAGAAGAAATGTTATGCAGCAGAATAAGTGGTCAAATTAATTGCTCCCTTCACTTTCAATTCATTATTTGAACAAGTTAATTGCTCTCTGTAGCATTGTATAGAAACTTTGTTTAATTTGCTACAAATCATAAATAATTCCATCAGTTAAGACTCTCCACCAGCTCCTGCAGTGCCATTTAGGTTGAAAGTTGCTCTGTAAATTGTAAAATAGCAACAACAATTGTAGTTGCAATTCTGAATTACTTTATTCTTGTACCAATAAGATACAAATACAAAAATACACTCAGCCTCTGGCCACTCAGCTGTTTATATAACACCAGAGGAGATAACATATGTCCTCCAGTGTCTATCTGTGAAAGTCCCTATTATATAATGAGATCTTTCATTTCTATTCTACAGCAATGTTTTTCAGTCTTGGATTTTTTCAATAGATTAATTTTTATTGCCAATGACAATTCTGCTCCAAAATGACTGTGTTGAACATGAAGAAAGTGTTTAAACAATGAACAATGTTAGTTTCCATAATTCATGCTCATCATTTTTTTTTATCCTGAGGCCAGTAACCAATGTTGATTGTAGAGGCAACAAAAGAAATCAGTAAACTTCCAATACAGTTCTAAGATTTTTATAACATTGTACCAAATATGGAGCTGGGAACTTTTGCATCAAATTTCCTATGTTAGGGTTAGATCTGGCACAAGGTCACAGTACAGGAGCATCTAGTGAAGGCTGAAATCATTATAAATGAGAAGATGAATTTGAGATGATCTTTTGAACCATTGCAGGCACTTTTAGGATGTTTAATAATACTTACCTTCTTCTTGGTTCTCAGTGGATTCCACTGGATTTTGTTCCGCACCAACATCCTCTGGATTGTTCTCTTCGGCACCAAATATATCTTCCATTTCCAAATTGATGGACTCCATTTTGTTTGCTTAACTCAGATATGAAAGTTGTATACAATACTAAAACAAAAAAATGAAAAAAATAGAATTTATGATTTCATGAAAGGATATTTTTATTTATATTAGAGAATTTTTGTTTCACAAAAATATTTGTTCCCATTGGTATCATGGACAATGTGAATGCAGGTAAAAATTTCAAATATTATACAGCCAAGCCCCAGGGTAGCTGTCATGCTAGGCTTTACCATTCCTTTAGGAGGGGGTGGGGGGCTAGATGTATTACCTAGTACCTAAGGCATCCCTAGAAGGGAAGTGCTATGGTAGTTTAAGCAATTTTTTGTCCCTACTCCACATATGCGTGGGCAACCAACCTATTTTAAATTCAAACTCATATCACATTCCACTTGAGTGAGTGATTTTCTTTATCATTTCATCCCAAACAAGGCAATAAAGCCACTAAGATGCAAGGTGGGAAATGGAGGTACTTAAAGTGGAAGAAAAGACAATAAGAGAACAGGATTCAATAAGAAAATAACAACTTAATTTAAATCATTTACTTTTTTATTTTAAGCACTGCAGATACGCGCATTTAAAAAAATAATCTGAACGATTTTTTTTGTCTTGTCTTTTTTATGTTCCAAATTATCACAGTTGTTATACACAAGGACACTTAGTCATAAAAAATAAAAAAAGTTTTCATAGCCATTTTTTGGCAGTATGAACATTTTTCATTACAAGCAGAGTTCAAATTCTTACTTGGTCTGTTGCATTCATTTTCGCATTTAATGTCTTTGAGAAAGGCCTAAATTTACGTCTTCTTTCGCCACCAGCTATGGGCTCAATTTAAAATAGTAGGGTAAACTAGGTTCTCTAACCTTAGCAGAAGTCAATATCCCTGAATTTAAAAACGTAGAGAAGGCAACGAGAAACCACTCCACCATCTTTCTCAAGAGATCATCAGTGTAGGTAAAAAAGGTAATTTATTGATAAAGAAAAAAAAATGATCGTCTTCTTATTTTGTCGTAATTGAAGACGTTTCTTCCACAGAAAACAATAATCATTTGGGTTGGTAGCGTTAAATCTGAATCACTATTTTGCTTCCACACGACAGACAAGTTTTCCATAATATTATTATTGAAAGTAACAGTAACTGAATTGTTACCATCGGTTATTTTTAAAAACACAACGTAACACGCAACATGAAGCTTTTTAATAAAACTTTCAAAACTAAAAGTACTGGTTTCTAACTTCCAAGTTAAGTAACAATCTCTATAAAAGAAAAAAAAAATCTAAAATAAAACAACTTTAATCAATGAGTATTTTTATGGAGAAGCTTCTTTGCTTAACTTAGCACGCGGCGTTAATGATCGTCTTCTCTTCCAGGAAGAAAGTGGAATAGACGAATGCAAAATATCAACAAAAATACTGACATTTAAAGAGAAATCGGTGCTCAATATTAAACAGAAGACAAAACTTGAACATGTAAATCTTGATAAGAAAACAAGAGAAAATAAAACAGATTTAACTAACTTTTCCTTTCACATATGCTCATCACACACAGGAATAAATTGGTTTCGCGGCAAAACTTTGAAAGTGGAGTTCAGAGTTATCGCCCTTGACTTTTATTGATCCCACCAAATTCGGGAAATTAAGTTGTTCAGGAAAATAAATTAACTTGGAAATTAGTAACATTGATTTATTGATAAACCGAATTTTATTTAGTCAGAATTTTTTAGTTTGTACTTTTAAAGATTACAGTTTTAAAAAGAGTTAAAGATTATTAATTTCATGTAAGAAAAAATAATTTATTTTACACTAAAAAAAATAGCGAAAAAGAAAAAGCATTTTTGTTGAAGTTTACTTCGTTTCTTGAATATTTATTTCCATAAACAGGGAACATTACAATCGGGATAAATTTAGGCGTAGAATAAATGATAAAAAAAGCTTGTCAAATTATTCAATACACTTTAATTGAGAAATTGATTGACTGACAGTTAATTGACGGCTTAGTCTCGCTCGAGTGACTTTCGCACTATCAAAATTTGACTTTTTTTTTTTTTTTTCATCTTTAAAAGTAAAAAGCATTTTTAAAATATTTACACGAAGTATTCTTGTTCATTACACTTTTTAATTCTATGCAATTTAAAAGTTCTAAGATTTCTTTCTTTCACCATTTTTGGAATAACGTTTCTATTTTTTTTCAAACTGCTAAAAATGTATCCTCGGGAGAGTATATTTTTTTGACATTTGTATTTGCAAAATAAAAAAGTTTGAAAATTAATTTTAAAAGTGATGAAAGATAACCCACAAGTACCTGTGGAGGGTGTTTGTGTTAGTGCTGTTAAGTCACGAAAACTAAATCTAGGACAAACATTGAAACCTGTCCTGGTTTAAGGCTCGGATATTGTGGTAAGAAGTTTATTTGTGTATCAGTATCAAGATTAAATAACCAAAATAATCTTCCATCTTTTCTTTACTTAAATTTTCATCTTTCTTCTGACAAGTAAGTTCCTTCTTGTCGAGCACCTAAAGAGTTGCACACACGTAAAATGCAAGTTTTTCAAAAGTATTCAAATAAAATTAATGATTTTTATTTTTAATGATGGTTGACAAAGTTTGAATTTTTCTAAAACAGCAACTAAAGCTATTAATGTTCAAATTATGATTTATTTATTTTGTTAGAAAATCCAGAATGTTAATTCCAGAATGTCAGGGAAATGAAAATAAATGGTTATCTCCCCTGAAAGTGGAATTCTTCCGAATTTCAAACCGAAGCAGTTTTGTTTTTTTTCTACTATGTTTTCTTTGTAGAGAAATATTTTCCTATTATAAAAAAATGAAATGAAGCTTTAAACTTAACTTAATTTCTTCTTAGAGCTGAATCTAATGACGGTAAGGATTGTATTATTTACGCCGATTTGTATTTTATGTTACTTAATTCAAAGTCGAGTTACGACTTTGCCTAAAAAAAATATAGTTAAAAAAAAAAAAAAAAAAGAACCAAGTTGGAATTTTTTTTTTTAGTTCAGCATAATTTTAAATTTAAAAATATTTCTTTATTGTGTATAAAAAATTTTATACACGAATTACAGAATTTATTATAAATCTTTTTCATTTTGGTCGGCCGCCGCGTGTAAAAATTGTGTTAGAATTTATTTATTTATTTATTTTTTTTTTGCTCATCATGTGTAGAAATTTTGTTATTAATTCAATCTTTTTTTTTTTTTTATTGCCATGTGTTACGAATTTGAAATCTGATTAAAAATGAAAATTAAACTCAACGTTTGAAATAATTCTAGGTACTGAGTAACTTAAAGTGAAAAATTCTGTTAAATTTTTCTTCACTCCGTTCATCAAGGATTTTTAGACTTTTTTTATTTGGATTTTTGCTTTTTCAAAAGCGAAACGATAACGTCTTTGGACATTTTTGTTTTTCACTTAAATAAAAAAACTAAGAAATTTACAGGATTTGTAATTTTGCAAGATTTGTAATTTGTAAATGTAAACTGCAAGATTTAAAAAACAAAGTTTCATAAAATCTTTGAATTTAAAAAAAAAAAAAATTGTCAGTCAAGTTGAAGTCAGTTTTACTTTTTTTTTTTTTAACTTAAATTGTTTTTTTTACATTTATTTTAAAAGAATGATTTTTGGGGGGGCTGGGGTAGACGTCTATTTCATTTTGAAGTAATGAAACAAAGAATTAAATTTTTTTCTTAAATATTGTACCTCTGGGACATTTGAAAGTTCTCAGCCGGACTAAAGAGGAAATTACCTACGCCACAAAACAACTCACTTTCGCACACTGCTGAAAAGTTCTAGACCCGAAAATAAATTCCGAAACTTAGTCTTTTAGTCACATCATTGGGAAGTGGGCTAAGCCGAGAATTTTTCAGCACCCTCTAAAGAAAAACAATTTTGTATCTTGTGAAATAGTTACGATGAAATTGAAAATTATAGACATTTTAAAACGGTTAAACTAGAAAAATAATAAATTGCTTTGTTTCGATTTTTTTTTTTTTTTTTTTTGTGGTGTTTGATTCCCTTTTCATTTTATTTAGATTGAAAATAATACTTTTTTTTATAAATCACTTTGGGAGTTTTGTTTTTCCTAAATATGACTAGAGACATGTCAGAAAAAAAAAAGTCCGATTTTTTCTAAGATAGTGTTGCAGATATCATTTTTGTACACTTCTATCAGATTGTCTTTAAATCTTAATGTTAAACTGTAAAAAAAAAAATATTGTATCATTCAACGTATTGATGCAAATTGTCAACTCAAAACCAATGCCTTGATTTCTTCAAATCTTTTATAATGGTTTTTAATAACGGTTAAGCATATATACAGTGGGAAACCGACAGTCACCATAGACCTGTTGATTCCTATCTCCACACTGTTTAGTTTATATCAACAACTGCTCAATTTCTGATATTGGGCACTTTTCCACTGTACATATAGTAATGATAATGGTGAGATTAGCCATTTCATGTTAATTCAAGCAGGATTTACTCTATGACTGCATGAATTGTACTACTAGATTGGCAATTAGGTCTCACCATTTTACTGTTGAATTACCTTGATGCAACTGTATATTCTATACTAATAGTCTCTTTTCTCACCTGTGGAACTTCCTTCTGATTTCCTGCCACTTAGAATCTTCAAAAATTTAAGTGCAATGCTAAATGCCATCTTCAGTCTCCCTGAATCCTATTCTTTTATTGTCCTTTCTCCTCATTGAGAATCTTCATTCTTTTTCATTCCCAGTAACCCCTTGTGTCCTAGTGGTATTATTGCCCTGCTTGAAGTGAAATTATTAAAAAAAAATATATATATATATATATATATATATATAATAGCTGGCCACTCGTATTCAAGGATACCTGTTTACTAGGGTGGCTAGCCAATCCCTAATTCAGACACTCGCTCAGGCACATTTGTGTCTGTTCAACACCCACAGAACCCACCTGTGGTTTATACTACAACTATGCTGAGCAGACCTTAGTTACAGTTTCTGGGAGAGAGTGTGTTATCTAACGTGAGCAACAATCTGAACAAGGCCAGCACACTGAAACTCTCAGTCACGATGACTTGTGACTTTGTGTTAGCACAGCTATCAAGCCCCCCCCTGTGTTCAATTTCACTCACAAGGCTTGGGTAAATCTGTGGTATGGTTTTCTGGCACTTTCCAAAGGTGCTGCATCCTGGGATCATCCCCCTCCTGACAGATAACATCAGAAAGTTTCCTTCTTGAGAAATCAACTGTGGTGAGATTCAAACCTGGGTCTCATGGTCAGAAAGTGAACATTCTAACCACTCAGCCACACACACACACACACACACACATATATATATATATATATATGAAGCTGTGGTGGCATTTTGAGCTATAATGAAAGGTATGATGGGAAATTATCATTTTATTAAAGCTTTTATTGATTTTACAAATGGCACCCTAATTAAAAAAAGAACATAATTCTTTATATCAAAAATAATTTGAGGGAGTCCTGATAAATATTTTACCAGTGATAAAACATGTCAAAGACACTGTCACCAACATTTATTAAATCTATTCTTAAAGAATCTAACATATATTTAACTATCACTACCAGTGTTGTATTAAAAATGTCCCCAGACCAACAGGTGGGCAACCACCAAACGTAAATAATTCCTATGAGACACACACAAACACAGCTTGACAAATCAAATGCATGTGAAATCTGCATAAACAATGAAAATTAAACAATGCGAAAATAAAAATACCAAAAATTTTTTTCCATATTACTCTGATGAAGCTTTAATAAAAGTGAAACATTTATAAATATTTTTTGTTCTTTATCTTATCATTCTGTTAGATTCTGATCCATATTTGATTTGAATGAACGGTATCACTTTCTTTTCCGTCTCTAGGAATCAATGATATGGTTCTTGTTTGATAGAAGTTGGATGAACAATACCAACTGGGGGCAAATAAAAGGATGGTATCAGTGTGGCAAATCAAATAGAGAAATTGCTAGGTTTTTTCAGGTTAATCATCAAACGGTTAATAGTATTGTCAAGAAATTTAATGAAGAAGGCCATTGTCATATTGAACAATGTTCAGGAAGACCAAGCATCGTGTCTGAGTGAACAAAAAGGGTACTGAAGATGGAAGTCATCAGAAACCAGCATCAGAGTGTCAAAGATGTTGTCAACAGCATGGAAATATTACCATATATGGTGAGAAAGATTCTGAAAGAGCTAGGCTATCAAAGAAGAGTTGCAAGAAAGAAGCCCTTGATTTCAGAAGTGAACAGGAACAGGGGTATGGAGAGAATTCGAGAGCAAAGATTATCAATTTTAGCAGTCTCTAATTTGGTCAGATGAAAGTAAATTCTGCCAATATTTGAATTCGAGACAGGTTTATCTTTGGAGAAATCAGAATTAAACTTGAAACATTGAATGTCTGCAGGTGACCATGAAACCTAGAGGGATTGGAGTAATGGTGTGGGGCGCTGTCTGGCTTGGAGTGAAATTTGAGCTAATTCTTGTTGACGAGTGGTTGAATGGTCAAAAATACTGTCAAATATCAGAGAAAGGACTACTCCCACTTTGAAATCAATCAGATTGACAAGAATGTCTATCTTTTTCAAGAAGTTTGAGTGTCATGTCATACGAGCAAACTAGCAAAGGCCTGGAAGGAATTGCAAGGAATCAAATTACTGTGATGGGTAGCCTAAAGTCCTGACATGAATCCAATAGAGCATGTTGGTTAGCACCTTCACCAAAAACATTGAGAGCGTGCAACCAAAATCACATCAGTGGCAACCCTTAAAGAAACATTGCTAAAGGAGTGGCAGAATATAGATCAGACGATTGTTGATAACTTGATCAAATCCATGAAAAATTGGATACAAGCACTGAAACTAGCAAATGCAGGACCTACTCCATACTAGTTCCAAATACTGTTTATTTATGTTGAATAGGGATTAAGTAATTAAATTTTGAAATCGGATGTAGCTTATTTCTCCTGGCTAGAAATTCTCTTAGGCCACTGAAAAGCAAACTTAAACTGCTGCCCCGTTGTATCATTATCGTTTGAGAGATTTTTCTACTTAGATTATCTCTTACTTACTACCATTAAGACTACATGTGATAAACTGCAAAGATTCCAACAGTGGAATAAGCAGCTGAAGATTACGTCAGATCTCAATGGTTGAACCAACAGATGAAGTGGGCTACGTATGAGAGACATGCTACAGAAGACGCCATTCAAATTATAACATAGTCTGCAATAGTCCATTGCAGTTTCATAACTGCATTCTACATGTCTCATTCCATATATGCTACAGAGGAAGGTCATGAAATCGAGTGTGTGGGCCACTTCCTGGCAATTCATACCATTGGCACTTCTGATTTTGTTTCAACTTCAATGAAATCTTGCAAAGCCAAATAGCCATAGGGAATGGATGATGGGAGCAGATTTTGGTGAAATTGGAAGCTTCTAGTCTTGAATCTGCATGTTGGCAGGGAATTTTTTCATGGACACTATCATCATAGAGGAAGTGATCAGCAAAGGAGAAATGCAATTCTTGGATACGAGATAAAGATGCTGCTGATTACCATTATTGTGTGCCAACATTAAATGCTTGTATCTTTAATAATATTATACTATATTGTGAAAGCTGATATCATTCTAATTTTAATCGATAGATATGATTGTATTAAAAACGAGCTTTGAGTTATTTTCATGCAAATATTGACTGCTAACAATAAAATAATGTTTTCATTCATTTCCCTAACTATTTTCATTATTCCATGCATTTTTGTAGTATTAACTTTAATAAATCACATACAACACATAATTGATAGTTATTCAAGAATATATTGTCCAAAAGCTACCATTCTAAAGACAGAGTACCAGAAAGATCAATGGTGGAGGAGGATTAGGAGGCAGGGGTGGATAATAATATAAAAATTAATTTTATATACTTGGCATCTTCTGTTCATTTCTTCATAATATTTGAACATGATCATTCATTTTGATAGATTTGGTCATTTTTAAATAAGGAAATTTAAAGAATCATTTGAATAAAAATCTCCATGAAAACTTGTTAGAAGATATATTTGAAATGGTCTCTAAATGAGGAACATTTTGTACTGAGTGACCTCTACTTTTAAAATAAAAATGGATTTAACATATTGATTAAAAATACATATTGTGAATAAAATGTTTTTATATTGTTAGCATTATGTATAATTCTCTTTTTTTCTTTTCTTTTTTCAATGCTTTTAGCTGTTGAAGAAAAATATTGCTTCTTCATATTGAATTTGATTGTCATCAGTATTGCCTGCATTCATTTGAATGTCTTTTACAAACAACAGAATACTGACAAAATATTATGCCATTTTTAAGTGCTGGCATTTTTATTTCTCTTTTGTTTCAGGTGACATCTTCCTATGCTAGCATCAGTGGTCCGCACCTTTCCATACCAGAATATCTGCCATTCCTGTATTTCATCTTGTCTTTCTCTCATTCCTAAAGTCATCAATTTTACCAAACCCCTTCGGCCGTTTGTTGTGTGTCATCAACCTTCTGAAAGGTTATTCTATCCGTTCTTGGCTTCTGCTTTTATTTACCCAACAACTGACATGGCTGAAAACAAGTTTATTATTGTCTATGCCAAAATGGGGACTTCTAGTTGCAAGAAATGTAAAAATAAAATTGAAAAGGCAGCACTGAGAATTGGTAAAGTAGTAGCTAATCCTTTTTCTGATGATGGTGGGGATATGAAATTATGGTATCATCCAAACTGTATCTTTGAGACATTTCTTCGTGCTAGAGCAACAACAAAAATTATTGAAGAAGCAGAAGACTTGGAAGGATTTGCTGATTTGAAGAAAGAAGACAAAGATCTGGTAAACAATATCATTAAAGGTAAGACATTGACACTGCTTTGGCATATTTGCATTCTCTTTATTTTGATGATTGGATGTTTCGATTTAAAAGAACTTGAATTGGGCCAATGAGATCAAAGTTTGTAATTCCATTTGATGTAAATTATTCTGGCAAAATCAGTGTTAATTTGTTCTGCTAACATCTTTATAAAGACTGAAACAGCTTATTTGATAGATTTTAAAAGGGCATAACATAAACAGGTAAAGTTTGGTTTTTATAAGTGATATAGTGAGAAATGATTAAACAAAATTGAAAAGTAGAATTTATTGGTTGTGATATGTTGCCATAGAGTTAGTCATTTAGTCATGTATGCCAAAAGAACATGATAGTCATTGGGTCACATATGTTAAAAGAACAAGATAATCATTTGGTTATGTATGTCAAAAGATAAAAAAATCCTTTGAAATCTTAAATATGGAAGTTGAATAAAAAAGAAGGCAGATAAAATTTGATTTTTTTTTTAATAATCTTAAATTCAATGGGGATTTTAAAATTTCTTACAAGTCTTTACCTATTAATTTTATTTGTTAGTCACAATCAGAATAGCAAAAAATAAACAAAAACCCAAAAGCCAACAACAAACACATTTTAGTTTTTAAATTCTAGTTTATTTTGGGATTAGTGGCTTGACTTCAGTCACTTTTTTACCAACACTTCCCTCTGTCTTTACAAATATTTTCATAGCAACTGCTTTGACAAGCATTTCTGTCTGAGGCCTCAACTACATGAATTTAAGTGTGCTACTAGAATGGCATCTAGGTTCCACCCATTTACTGTTGAAATAGCTAAATTTAACCGCCAATTCTACTCCAACAGATTTTCTTGCACTTCTGCCCTGTATAGAACAAATAATGCATTAATTTTTGTATAAAGTTGGTAACAAATATTTTTCTTTTGTTATTGGGAGAAATAAAAAGATGGCTAACTCAACTTCTGTTGCTTGATGACAAAATTGTTTACTTATTAAAACTCTTATTTTATTACTATAAAATAAATGTGACTATTTTTTCTTACTAACCATGCTGAGTAACAGACATGCACCAAATGGTATGATGGACATTTTAATATATGTGCCTGTAATGCAGAAGTTGTTAGCAATGCATGCTTGTCATTGATTTTGTCAATACATCACTGAAATGTCATTATTTGTTAACTTATATTGCCTATTTCATTCAATGAATAAAATGTAATTTTTTTTTACAAATGCAATAATTAAAATGTCTTACTTAATGTTCAACATTTACTTTATTAAAATAACTGATTCCCATGTACACTTGACTTTTGAACTAATTTGGCAAGTAATAAACCTCCACTGTAAACAAAAGGATTATTTTATTATGTTTTAAATAAAAACTAATTTTGTGTTCAAAATCCACTTTAGTAATCATTGACAAATTTTCAGCTCTGTCCCATTATAGTTGTTACATTTGCAAATACATTTTATACACAAAATCTAATGATTTTTGAGGCAGATAGTAATTTATTTAATTATTTTTTTAATTTTTAATTATACTTAATACTTTTTCTATTAAAGTTAATTTGGGATGACCAAAATAGACATTTAAACTGTCTAAGCCCCTCTGCTTCAAGGAGACAAAAATAATCATTTTATTTAATTGCAACTACCTTTTGTTATTTTCTTGTAAACAGGATATTGCAATTTCGTAATAGATTTTAAAAATTTAGTAAAAAAGTTGGATTATTTCTTTCTTACATAATAATTAATAACAATAGAAAATTGACTCCCACTTCATATAAAAACTATAAAATCAATCTAAAACTGGCTTTGGTTATCTAAAAGTAATTTTTCAGTACTGTTTTCCAATTAAAACTTCAAATATGGTAATAAATAAATATATATATATATCACATGAAAACAGATACATAATACTACCGACCAATTCTGCCACGTCCACGATAACCTATCCCATCTAAATAATCTTGAAATAGTCACAAACACCTCCAAAACCATTATAGATATACTAAGATCTTCAAACAATAATAGCACTAATATTTCTGAAGCAGGCATTTATAAAATAAATTGCCAAAACTGCTCCTCCCAATATATTGGAGAAACAAGTAGAAGTTTGAAAAACGCGCATTTATGAGCACAAAAAGAGACCTCTCAAAAACAACTTAGCTAATGCAATAGTAATACATAGAAATAAATACAACCATAATTTTGATTTTAAAAATGCTACACTCATAAAAAAAGAAAATCATTCACTCAGAAGGAAAATTTTGGAGAGTGCCGCCATAGAAAATTATCCAAATATCAATTTACGCCCAGGCTTTTTCCCTATTTCACCTTTCTTAACAAAATTAATGCTCTTACAAACAAACATGCACAACAGATTCATAAAATCGAAAGAAAATGGTTGAATACATCAACACAGATATAATGACAATATTCTCCACACGTGACAATCTCTGACGTTATTTCTCATTTAAAAAATATGAAAATAGCATTTCTCTACATTCCAGTTGCTAGGTACATTCTGTTTTTGTTTTTATTAGTTACGTTGTTCATTTAATTTCATTTTCGTATTTTGCTTTGATAAAGTCCACATTGGACAAAAAAACGTCAGCAATTACCAGTTTTCCTATTGTCATTTTTATTCATAATATTGTCTTCTCTACCGATTAAATTGGAGAAATTTTCATATATATATATATATATATATATATATTATACAGTAATGTATTTCCAATTTTTATTAAAAAATTGGGTGACTAGTTTTTTACTTAATAACAATAGAAAACTGTTCCTTCACTTTATACTGGTTTTTGATTGAATTTATAAGTCAATCTAAAATCTGGTCTACACTAGTATTAGGTTTTTATCTAATAAACATGTTTTGTGCATTAAAAAATAGATATGTACAGTAGGAAAGTAAGTATTCAGTACATATAATAAAAACAGATGAAGAGGAAAAAGTATTCAATACTCCCTTTGTATTTGGACTATTGAATACATTTTTGCTCCATCTTTTTTTTAATAAATGTATTTATTGAGAAATACTGCTCATATCCATTGTAAAGATGAAACATAAGTGGTGTAATTTTGAGGTAATTATTATATAGGTAAGTAAATAATGCAATAAACTAGATTTGTGACTTGTATTAATTATTCTCCTCAATCTCATATATATATATATATATATATATATATATATATACACACACACACACACACACATAGTAATGTACAAAATACAACATATATGTAGTGTGTTTAGCAGTAAAGACAATGGATGATGTTACTTGTGTCTGGGCAAAAATCTTGGTAAGGCATGAGTGATGATAGAATGCTAAATAGGAGGCAAGAGCACATGGCTATCTGCAGGCATAAGAATAAATTTGTGATTTAAAACCACCATAAACCTGCCTTTCTTCCTTGACATATACATCCAGGCCTCTTGATTAGTAAGCCTTATATGGTAATGATATGCTCATGCTATCACTTGCATCTACCTCTACCCACTCCCCTTGGTTTGCAATATATACACCACATAATGGCTACCTAACTAGAGTTGAATTTCTTGTTCTTTTCAACTGCTTGAAAGTTGTGTGACTGCCAATGAACAGAACATGCACATGAAACTTTAAGTTAAAAGTAAACAGCAGAATTTAAGTATAGTCTTTTTATATATTGTATTTTGTTTGTTTGTGTGCGTGTGTGTGTGTGTGTGTGTGTATATATATATATATATATATATATATATATAGTAATAGAGAATTGGGTCAGCCTGATAAAAGACTCCAAGTTGGTTGTATGTGGTACTGTAAGCTCCAGGAGTTATGTCCTCTTCCACAGAAGGTCTTCTCTCAACAGCCCATCTGTTGAGAGAAGACCTTCTACTTAGTGTAGGTGGTGCTGACTATTTATATATGAATTTTACTGGCAGGTATTAGCCAATAGTCAGCATGGGTCTGGGACTGGGAGAGCTATATAACACCAGTTTTTTTTTTCTTGGTCAAGAGAGGCACTTTCGATGTGCAGATGTGCAAAAACCAGATAAGACGAACACAAGCTATTGATGGACGATGGCAGACCCCCAAATTCGATTTAAAGTTAATTCCTGAGTTTGAAGAACTGGCATCCGGTCTTCCAGTGGTTGAATGGATAGAGAAGCTGGAACTAGTTTGCAGTCTATGTGGAGTGAAGTCTTTGGAGCACATGATCTCTTTGAGACTTGTGAGTGGAGCATTTGCAGTTTACCAACAACTGGATGACAAAGCAAAATCTGGCGTTGACCAGATAAAAACTGCCTTAGCTACAGCCTTTGTTGCAGATTCATTTATAGCATACAAACAGCTCATTGTGTGGCACCTGCAGTATGGAAAATCTGTGGATGTATACCTGGCTGAGTTGAAAAAACTTGCATTCTTGTTGGGCAGGATGAGTGACCTTATGCTGGCCTGTGCATGGGTTGCCAGGCAATATAAAGCAGACACTTCATGCATTGTCTAGGATGGACGCACTGTCTGTTGACCAGCTGTTTGTCCGAGCCCAGGCAATTATGAGAGATGAGAAGATGAAGTTGTGGTGGCTTCAGTGGCCTGGCCAATGCAAAGTAAGAATATTCATGTCAGAAAGTGCTTTAGATGCAGTTGTGTTGACCACATGACAAAAGATTGTCGGAGCCAACAAAATGACAAGAGATGGGAGCGAGGACAGCGCAATACCATGTACTGTTACCGCTACCCTACCATGGGCCGTATGTCTTGAAACTGTCTGAGAAAATGTGAGAAGAGTTATGTCAGTGCCAGTATCTTCTCAAGCCTGGCACTACCTGTGACCAGGGTTCAGGTTGATGGCAAAACCATCCCTGCACTGGTTGATACTGGTTGTTCGCTGTCTATAGCCAGCAAAGGGATATGCCAATTGTGGATGAAAGGGCCTGTATGCATAACAATAATAGACTGGGAGACCAGAGCCTTTTGTGTGATCGGAGTCATTGCTTTTTGGTTGCAAGACAAAAGTCCTGTCAAGATTGACATACTGTTGGCATGAGACAAGCCGTTTGGTTTTAATCTTCTGATCAAAGAACTAGGAGGAGTAGGTATCACTACTTCGGGTGCAGTGGAATTCTTTGACAGAAAACCATCTTTGTGTGTGGATCTCCCTATAGAGGAACCAGACTTTAACATCGAGTTCAATCAGAAAAAGAAAGCATGAAAAACATCATGGAATTGAACAGTGCATAAGACATAAAGTTGGAGATGTGGTGTGGCTGAGACCACCCCAAAACCAATGTACCTCAAAATTTACAAATGGGAAGGTCACTGGAATCCTTAGTCCACAATCTTTCCAAGTTCTCCACTGCCTTAGCCAGGTATTGAACTCACACTCTAACTAATCCACTGTGCCATGTCTCCTTGAGGACACATGGCCCAGTAGATAAAGGCACTAGTTAGTTCCAGTGACAGGACCCAAAGAGTGTGATTTCAGAGGAAAAATAACAGGAGATAATGGATAACTGACATCCATTAAACATGGCACGTGTAACTAGAACAGTCTACCCCAGTGAGTGAAATAAAGGATTCAGTTCGACATTCCAACCACCTGAAGAAGGCCGGAGTGTACAACGGCTGAAACGTTGTAATAAATATGGCGACAAAGATGAGGACAATAGTCCGATTAATGTAAATAATGAACTCTGAATTTATTAAGCATCTCATCTTTCAGATAAGCAATATGGTTTTGGTTTCTCTAGGTCAACTGCCAACCTCATCAATGAATTTGTATTCCAAGCTTTAGATAAGAATGGTGAGGCGCAGGTGTTTGTCAGATTTTGTCATGTTGGCCTTCTTCACAAGCTCAAGCGCTATGTGGTCTCTGGCCAAATATTTGATTTAATCCACTAAGGCTTGATCCTTAGACCTGTGTTGTTTCTTATAGTCATCAACAATTTTCCTGATGTCATCAGTTCCCAACTCTGTATTTTTGCTGATAATACAACTATTTACTCTTGTCTTAATAGTCAGTCTCATTGGTCTGATAAAGTAGAAATGGCAGCTGATTGTGAAAATGACCTCCAGTCAGTTAATAACTAGGGCAAGAAATGGCTTGTAAATTTGAATGCATCCAAAAACAAAACTGCTATCTTTTAATCATCATAGAGAACCATCCTTGCTCTCTATCAGCATGGCAACTCATTGCACTTTCTTGCTTTCCTATTATCCACTGACATGAAGTGCAGTGATTATATTGAAGGTTTGCTGCTGGGAATGTTGGTGTTCAATGGACAATTTTTTTTATGCCAGAATCTATCCTTGTACATATATTAGGTCTGCCATCTCAGGCCTGGAGCTTCTGTAATATTATTAGATCTGCCATCTCAGGCCTGGAGCTTCTGTAATATTATTAGGTCTGCCGTTTCAGGCCTGGAGCTTCTGTAATATTATTAGGTCTGCCATCTCAGGCCTGGAGCTTCTGTAATATTACTAGATCTGCCGTCTCAGGCCTGGAGCTTCTGTAATATTATTAGATCTGCCATCTCAGGCCTGGAGCTTCTGTAATATTATTAGATCTGCCATCTCAGGCCTGGAGCTTCTGTAATATTATTAGATCTGCCGTCTCAGGCCTGGAGCTTCTGTAATATTATTAGATCAGGCCTGGAGCTTCTGTAATATTATTAGATCTGCCATCTCAGGCCTGGAGCTTCTGTAATATTATTAGATCTGCCATCTCAGGCCTGGAGCTTCTGTAATATTATTAGATCTGCCATCTCAAGCCTGGAGCTTCTGTAATATGACTAGAGATTTTCAATAAAATACAAAGATGGGTGTGTAATGTTATTGGTCCTGACCTGGTATCTCTGCTTTAGTCACTTTCTCACCACTGTGATGTGGCTTCCCTCTGTCATTTCTATAAATATTTTTATGGTAATTGTTCTGATGAGCTCATTTCCTTGGTACCTTGATCACATGAATTTAATTGTATGACTAGATCGGTAACTAGGTCTCATTGTTTTACTGTTGAAGTGGCTTTGATGAAACTAAGTTCGATTCTAATCAATTTTTTTCTTTCAGTTTTTTGCTTCTCCACCACCTATGGTCTTCAAAAATTTAAATGCGGTGTCAGTGACCATCGATATTCCTGAACCCTGTTCTTTTATTGTCATTTCTCCTTACTAAAGTCATCTCATTCTTTTTCGCTCACAGCAACTCCTTGTGTCTTATCACCTTTCTTGGGTTAAAATGGTTTAAAACAAAAAAAAAAATACATTAATGCTTGGTATAATTCTGTGTGCAATTTTTCATTGTTTTATTAAATTGTCGTTTTGCTTTTATTCAAATTGTGATCCTTCAATTCCAGGGAATATTCTGATATTTTTTTCATCATTTTATAGATTTTTTTGACAATCCCCAGAATAAAAGGAAAAAGTCAGTGTCTCAAGATGCCAGTAAATCATCAAAGAAGGAGGAAAGAAAAAGTGCTACTGAAGTTAAAGGTAAGAATTTGTTTTTTTACAATTTTAGGATATTTCACTGATATTAAAATTTTTAGACATTCCAAAAAACAGCCATAAAACATAATGATGGCTTGAATATTTGCTTTTTTCTTATTAAAGGTGAACTTGAGATGAGTTTATTGTTGTTAAGTGTTGAATATTTAGAATTTATTTTAAACAGAATTAACTCCCTAAAAATGAATGTCTGAAACCTGCAACCAGTAGCCCCATTGTGTTTTAGTGGCTTTATTGCCTTGTTTGGAGTGAATTCAGTTGAAAAAAGAAAGTTAGTTGTTAACTGGGACAAAGGATGGCTTGTTAATTTTAACGCTTTCAAAATGAAACTGTTCTCTATTAATAATCTTAGAGACTGTTTTCTGCCTTCCATCATGGCTGATGTTAGCCTCCAGGAGAGTGACTCCTTGCACATTTCTCAGGCTAATATTCTTGACTGATATAAAATGAAAAAACTATATTGAATTGACTGCTAGGTCAGCTATGAAGAAAGTGGTTTAACTGTCTCGTACAAGACAGTTTTTCTTCCCTGAATTCATCTTACATATGTATAAATCTATCATTCATCCAATCCTTGATTATTACTGCCTCATCTGATTTGTTACTCCTGCTCTATATATTTAAGAGTAGAGGTACACTCACTGATGCAATGAAAGATTAACATATACACTGATGATTAAAAAATGACTCAAACTTAATAAAAACAAAGTTTTATTGTCAAAATCTTTGTTATTAATAAGAGGAAAGACCAAAGGATTTTTTGATTATTATATTTTTTCATCCATCTAAGATCATTTGAAATCTTTGTATCAGCACAGTGACAAAAGTATAGGAAATTTTGTCTTTTTCTGGTGAAAAACATTCATGCAGAAAATCTGGCAAAAGCCAAATAATTGTTGGATTTTAATGAAACTTTGAGGATTTATTCACAAATAAATTATTTTAGATTTTTTTTTCTTACATCTGTTACCCCACCCACTTATTTAATTTTATGAAATTTCAAGAAATTAAATTCTGGGGAGCTTAATGTTTATATTAGTTAAAAGCAGAACTCCTTGGAGAATTTAAATTGTCAATTTCTTTTTGTAAATTAGGATCTCCAATTACCAAAAATATGCCTGAATCATAAAATAAAAAAAAATGCCATAAAACTAAGACATTATTTAATTAAAAAACATTTATCAATAAGATATATCATGGACACTTTTGCCTTCAGAAAAACTTTTACAAGAATTGTTTTCATTGTTTTTAACATTTAATTATAATAATTTATAAAGTTTTAAATCTTTTTACAATTCTGTCTTATTTTGTAGAGTTTAGGTGATATTGTTATTAAGTAAAAATTATATTTATTAATCATGAAAACAAAAACTTAGTACAATTCATCGACATACAGTATTTGAAAAAGAATTATGAAAACTTTTTTGTGCATATAAATGTACTGAGTTTTGTAAGTACAGACATTCATACACAACATTATAATAACAGTGATAACTATAGTAAATTTAAAGCCAAATTACCTAAAATTCAATAAAATATTAGATTACAGAGAATATTTTCTTAAATTTTTAAAATTACTGAGTAGCTAAAAATTGTATAAAAAGGTGCTCACATTATATTCTTCAAATAAATTTTACAGATATGTCCACTGCAGAAAAACATTGGATAAACTTCTTTCTGTCATTCAAGCTGTCAACAACTAAAATATACAGCTACCGCCATGTTAAAAAATTCATTTATGCAATATTTTAAACTTTAAGTAATATTTGTTTCAAATCAGATGAATTAATTCGGCTAAGTCAGCTAATATTCCTCAAATAAAATTTCAGGAAAGATGAAAATGCAGCTCAGCAATTTCAAAACTAAAACTCCTTCCAGTCACTTTCAATTAGTTGTGAAATGCAGCAAAGTATTTTGCTTATCGGAAATATTATATTTGATCTATTAGCTTGAAATTAAAACTAAAATAAAAGCTTCAAGAACAATTTTTCATTTTTAAAAATGTATTTTAAACCTTAGGTATTGTGAGCCAGTGGTGGTATCTGATTTAAATATTCTTGATGAATACCCAAAGGTGAATCAGTAATATTATTGGTCCTGACCAGGCATCTCAGCTTCAGTCCCTTTCCCCACTACTGTAACGTTGATTCCCTGTTCCTTTTCTATAAATACTTTCATGGTAATTGTTCAGATGAGCTCTTTGCTATGATACCTAGACTTGATGAATTTCAAGTCCAGTACTAGATTGGTGGCAAGCTCTCATCAATTTACAGTTGAATTGGCTAGATGTTATAATGCTGCGGGATGTCCTTGTTCTTCTCCCTGCACTACATACATGACAACGCTGTCCCAACCTCAGTCAACGGTGTGTTTGTGATTAAATCTTGCAGCTAAACATGGAGTTGGTCACTTTGATCCAAGCCTCTCCCTGTCCCATTTAATGTTTGCTTTGATCACAAGGCAAGCAAGAACTGAATCGTCGCCAGATATTGCTGGATTACTGTTGTTCTGTTGGGATGATGTTATAAGACAAAAAGAGGAAGATTGTTTAGATCAACAAGGTTTATATAGGAACACTTTTTCGTATAAGAATCTACAAGCATGCAGACTAACGACCATTCTAGGTGGGGGCGTTAACCAAACTGTTATCCTACCAATTGACTGAATTCTTTGTCATTCAAATTCTGCATTGTATACAATGAGATCTTATTTTTTTTTTAGCGATACACACACCCTTAACCCCTATCAACAAGTGACATAGAATCATTTCCTTACTCTCTTCTTCTCCACTTATAGCCATAAAATTATTATCTGCGACTAGCTTGGTGGCCTCAGCCCAGAAATGCCAGGTCGATTTGTGGAGGTTACCGCACTCCCCTGACATTGTCCCTTGAGCCTTACTTTAACCAGATACCCAAATTGATTTCAGCACTATCTTCTAGTGAGGACCTTATTCATGAAATGAGAAAAAAAAAAAGAAGGATATTTTCTTTTCACTTTTGGTATGTCCTTCAATCTATCCCTGACCTTGTTCACTTTTGTGTTCATTTAAGGCTTTTTTTTTCTCTTCAAATTATTAATATTCTTACAGTGTTACGATGGAGCTGTAAGCTCTATGCTAGCAGTTTTTTTTCTCATACTTCTCATTTGTCGAACTCCCTTCTGGCTCCATGCATTCTGGCCAACTTTGATCTTCAAAATTCAAATGAAATGTCAATCATTATCTACTGTCTTTCTGATGACTATTCTATTGTTCTTGCTTCTTAATAATGTTTCTCTGTTTTCTAATTCTTTCACACTCGGTAACCCCTTGTATCTTAGTGGCTTTACTGCCTTGTTTGGGATGATTTTGTTAAAAAAAAAAATATCAGCAAACTATTTAAGTATCCAGCTTGAATTTGTCAATATGTTTAACTGAATTTTCTGATTTAACCAAGATTTATGTGCTATGAAAATCATTTTTAGAATGAACAAACAATCAACTTGGAAACTCTCATATTAGCGTTGTTACAACAAAGAAGAATATTGCGCTAAAAATTTCTTTTGTCATTTTTAAACAAAATTCTTCTGCAGTTTCTCATAGACAGATCTGAAACTTTCAAAAAACACTGAATAGAATTATTGCTTAGTGTTACTTATTTGAATGTGCATGACTTGATATCTCTTTGTTTATAAGTAACCGAACATTTTATTGACTTTGATCATTGCTTTATAAATATAGGTCTGACAAACTTGGACCTTCATGCCTGAAAAAAAAAAAACAGAGTGCCAAAAGAATTTTTTTTTAATATTGACACAGCTATCATTTAACTACCTTCATTAGAAAATCATACAGGGTCAGATCGGCAAAATTAGACATTCATACCCACAAAAAAACAGTGTTTCAGAAGGATGGTTTTTCCATTGACACAACTATCATTTTAACTACCTTCATTTCTTGGCAATGTATATTGTTTTAAAAAGCAATGATTAGAATTGAAATAAAACCTAAACATCAGATGAAAGTGAATTTATACATTTTTTTGCTCTTGATAGTTTATACAAAAATATTAAACACTATTTATTAGATTTGTTTATTTACAAGAATAATTTTATATTTACAACATTCTAAAAACTAATACAATTAAAACTAATGCAATGCAACATTTTTCATTTACCAATTTATAAAGAAATAAATATGAAAAATTTTCATTCATAAATTTATAAACATTTACTAAATTATTAAACTATTTGAACCAATTTTAAGGAAATGTTTATAAACAGATACTGTGTTTATTTACAATTTTATAAAGATCAAATCAATTGCCAGCCACTGCAATAAACAATCTAATAAATTGTGTTTATTATTTTTGTTGTCAATTATTGAGAACAAAGAAAATGTGTAAATCCACTTTCATATGTTTTAAGTTTTATTAAAATTTTAATCATTGCTTTTTTAAACAATAAATATTACCGAGGGAGTTAAGGTAGTTAAAATAATAGCAGTGTCGAGTGGGGAAAAAAATCATTTTGAGACTTTGGCTTTTGCTGGTACGGAGATCCAAGTTTGCCATTGGTTTTATTCTAAAATTGTGTGTTGTGTGTGTGTGTATATATATATATATATATATATATATATATATGTGTGTGTGTGCTCCCACTTCATTTTTTGCCTGGGTCCTGTGGTGGTGGGGGGTGATTAGGTCTTCATCACAATAGGTAGGGATGAGTAGACGTGATAGGCAACAATAAACTACAGAAGAACAAAAATAATGATTGCATTAATATTTAAACTTACCTTTTAAAATTTCAATAATAATTCTTCTGGCATCACTTAATTTAAAGACAATTTGATGTATATAAATCCTTACTTTCTGTCCAAAAAAAATAAATTATTCATGGGTGACTTTTGCTGGATTTCACAATTAATTTTTATTATTCCCTAATTTATTTCCGGGTTAAAAATTGTTATTGTTATAATTTGTTGCAAAAAATCACGTAAAATT